CAGGCCGGCTCCCGACGCATTGATGTTTCAAAGTCGGACTCGCATCAAGGGGGAAAGCCGAGTGGACAAGTGTGGGGCGCCTTGACCAAGGACCCCGCGAGATTGGAGTGGTGGCGGGGAGGGGGGAGCCAAGCGTGGGCGGCAGCAGCGGCAGCGAAAGAGGGCTGCGGCCGGCGGCTGGCGACGCTCGGGCGGGGGCTGCGGCTGGGGCGGCGGGGAGGAGGGCTGCGGCGGCGGGCGCTGCGGGTGGGCGTGGCGGGCGGGCGCGCGTCGGAGGGCACCTGGTAGATGGTCTTTGGCTTGACGAGCCCGGCGGCGGAGGCGGAGGAGGAGCGCGAGAGGGAGCCCTTCAGCTTCTCCTTGTCCCCCCCCGCCTGCATCTCGGCGAGCAGCGCCTTCATCGAGCCGGTGGCGCCCAGCACGCCCAGCACGCCCGGCGACGCGCCAGCCTTGCGGTAGAGGGGGCCCGCGTTGATGTCGGGCAGCGCGTCGCCGAGCAGCAGCTCGAGGTCGGCGGCCTCGAGGTCGAAGGAGAAGGAGGAGCGCTTCGCGGTCGGCGGCGCGGGCATCGGCGCCGCCTCGACTCGGCTGCGCTTGGAGAGCGGAACCGCAAACCCGGCGTCCATCGAGTCGCGCCGCCTGCGGATCGCCTCGACGCGAGGGGACTCGAGCAGCTCGTCGCCGCCGAGCAGGCTCTGCAGCGTCAGCGCGAGGTCGTCGTCGCCCACCGTCGTCGCCTCGGCGGACATCGTCTCGACGAAGGCGTCGATCACGTCGGAGGGCGAGGGCGCGGGCGCGGGCGCGGGCGCGGGCGCGGCAGCGAGCGCCGGGCTGCCGCGCGGCGTCGGGCCCTTGGGGCTGCCGGCAACCATGCTCGGCGGCAGCGGCGCGCCCCGGGCGGGCGAGCCGTGCGGCGGCGAGCCGTGCGGCGACGAGACGGCGGACGAGTGCGGCGAGGAGAGGATCGAGTTGAGCGACGGGACGGCGGTGGTGATGCCGTCGGGGGAGTGGTGGAGCGGCGGCGAGGGCGGCGAGAAGTCGCCCATGCCGGCGGCGTTGATGGCCGCCACCATGAAGAGGTAGGCGTGCCCGGGCGAGAGGTTGCCGACGCGCGCGCACGGCTCGGGCGAGTCCGTGTTTTCGATGCCAACCTGCCACGAGACGCCGCCGTCGATCGAGAAGCGCAGCTGGAAGGCGGCCAGCTCGGGCTCGCCGCAGGGCGGCGGCGGAGGAGGCTTCCACCACAGGTGCACGCCGCCCGCGCCTGCGAGACAGTCACCGACATGTCATGGACACGCCCCGCACGCCTCCCGGCAGAGCCGCGGCGTTGTGCGCCGTCCGGGACACAGGTGAGGTCCGACGGCGCGGTCGGGCGGTGCAGGTTGGCGAGGTGCTGCGTCTGGAAGTTGTTTGCCGAGAAGCACTTGTGGCAGATGTGGCAGTACCGCTTGCCCGGCTTGGCGCGCCCTCCGGCGCCGCCCGGCTTCGCGGCCGAGTGGTAGACCTCTCCGGCGGGAGACTCGAACCAGATGACCTGCGCGGGGCGCGCGCAGGGCGGGGTGAGAGGGCCGCGGCGGCGAGGGACTGGGGGAATGGGGGAGGGGGTGGCGGCTCGCGTGGTGGGGAGGCGGGCGGGCGGGCGGGCGGGCGGGGAGGGTGGGGCGAGGGGCGCGCAAGACTCGCCACGCACTTGGTGGCAGCGGGCTGGCGGGGGCGGGAGGGCTGGGGCAAGGGGGGAGTGGGGGCGGGCGAGGGGGGGCGGGGGAGGGCAACCTTGCGCGTCTTGAGCTGGACGCGGAGGAAGAAGTCGACCCCGATCTCCTCGAGCAGGAAGGGCTCCTCCTCCGTATTTGGCCCCTCGGTGACAATCTCAAAGTCGGGCCACGCCTCGAGCGAGACTGCGCCGGCGTTGAGCTTGGCGAGCATCCAAGCGGAGCGAGGGACGGTGTTGGGGTGGTGGGCGATGGAGGCGGCGGCGACGAATACGAGGCCCGCGCCAACCTCCGAGGCGATATGCCACGTTGCCGTGTCCGCCTGCGTGAGACGGGCGCGCGGTGACCGGACCAACAGCGCGGTGAGCGGCGGACGGGAGCCGTGGCCGTGCCTGGTAGTAGATGTGGAGGGTGGTGGAGCCGGAGCCGGCCTTGGTGTAGTGCGGTCGATCGCCGATGACGGGCTCGACGAGGTCGCGCTACGGGGGCAGGGCGGCACGCGTCAGGTTGGTCTGATTCCTTTTTGCGCGCGCCCGGCGCGGGGAGGCGCCCCAACCTGCCACTGGCCGTTGAGGAAGTCGACCGAGTCGGGCGCGCCTCTCGAGACGAGCTTGGCGTACCGCTCGTACACGAGAGGCGGAGGCGACATCGTCGGCCTTGTTCTCTGGCACGCGCTGCCTTCTTTGGCCTTGCAAGCCGCTCACCGCCCTTAGCAGCCTGGGCAAATGGTGATTGGGTTCACTGTGAACAGACCCCGCCTCTAACGAACCGCCTCTAGAGAATGATAGTAGCGAATTGGGCCCCGCCGCACGCGTCGCTGCGCTCGGTCGCGCGCCGGTAGGCCCGGGCGGGGGCGCCGCTGCGGGCTGACGGCCTGTTGCATCATTTCGTGTGTGTGTGGAAAGTACAGCAGCCTTGGCCGTGACCCGTGTAGACTGCCGGCGCACGCCGCGCGTGGATATGGTGAGGCTATCACACCGCGGCTGTGAAGTCACTCGTTGTCGCCTCACAGGCGCCGCCTCAGGGCAAGCGAACGAGCCCAATCGGGCCTTAACTTACACTCCGCATGACGGTGATCCAGCACGACGCCGACATCGTCGAGTTTGGCCCGCAGCCGCCGGTGGCCACCGTCGGCCAGACGGCGGGCGACGAGATGGAAGGCGCGCGCGCGAGCCCGCTGCGCAGACGGCGCAGCGCGTTCCCCCTGCACGGCCTCTGGGCTGCTCTGCCCGCATGCCGGCCCCCCCCCGCTCCGGCGCGCGCCGTGACGCTTCGCACGTGCGCAGAACAGAGGATCTTGATACATAGGGATTCCCACTCCAGTGTCGTCTCTAAGCGGGCCCAAAGCGATGACCTCCAGCGGCATACCTTCAGAGTGCACCCCAAAACTAGCACTATCTAGACACGCACATCTTTTTTTTGCACGTGCGGCGGCGGCGTCCGGCGAAAGCAGGACCGAAACGGTGAAGTACGAAATCGGTGCTGTGGGTCAGTGTTGTGACCGGCGGCGATGTGAGTGCGCGCCTCACGGCCCAGCACGGCCACCGCGGCGACGGTCATGCCGGCTCCGCCCACCAGCGGTTGAGCGACCGACCGGCAGACCTTCAGGGTAGGCTGGCCCCGTCCGGGGGAGGAGATCCAGTGTCGACGAGTGTACGAACGAGCAATCGGGCGCTTGTCGCCCAAAAAGAAAGGAACTATGTACGCGGTTTTCTTTTTTCTTTTTGAAAATCGGCGGCTTCGCACGATGCACGTGTGTATGAGCTCGAGCTGCTTCTTCGACGGCAACCGGGTGGAGTACAGAAGGCTGTCAAAACCTGACGTCAAGCGCGAGGCAAAGGTCACCTTCGTTCCCGCCGGCGCTGCGCCACCGGAGCACCTGCGGCCGAAGGCGCGCCTGCGGCGGGCGCAAAGACGCGGGAACCTGCTTCACCTCTCGTTTTCGAGCGATGGCGGTCATAAGCGGGAGCGGTGGACGCGCGTGTCTCGGCTGCTGAAGCGCAAGGTCAATGTGCTCGAGGGGTCGGGCCTCAAGCCCGGCGTGGGCAACTACAGCGAGGACGAGGATGCGGCGATCAAGCGGCGGAGGACGGGAGGCGAGGCGTGGGGCAGCATCGCACGCTCGCTGGGACGCGGCGTGAACGCGGTCACACAACAAGGCCAGCGGCTGATGAATCCAAAGCTCGCGCCGATAGGCCAAGGGAAGGCTGGCGTGCCGCATGACCGGAGCATCAACTGGGTGGACGAAGTCACCAGCGCGATGCAGCGGCTGCCCAACCAGCAGGGCACCGCTCACGATGTGATCGCCGTGCTGAAGGAGATGGGCCACGTGTTGGACGAGAGCCTTCATCCGGGCTCGAGTCAAAGCAGAAGCAAGTTGACTGTCAGCGGCGTGCTGTCCAAATCAAGGACCCCGCAGTTTGTAGCACTCCAGCGCCTCGCTCGCTTGGGCCAGTCCGGCACGGTGGTCAAGGTCACGCATGGCAGAAAAGGTCACACGGCGTCGGTGCAGTTCGAGGACGGCGCCGTTGAGGCGTTCAGCATCGGCAGCCTCGCACTGGCCGCCTCGCCTGCTGCGCGCAAGATCGCAGCCGGCGCCTCCGTGACGGTCACGACGGAGGAGGGAGGAGTTGTGAAGGTGAATGCCGGCCCGCGCAACAAGCCCTGCACGGTCTACAAGTACAGGCCGGAGCTGACCCCGGTCAAGGCCGTCAAGTCGCCGACGAAGCGCAAGAGGCTCAACGCCAAGGAGAGGAAGAAAGGCTGAGATGGCGTAGCGCAGAAACACGGATAGGCCGCTCAGAGCGGTGAGACAGTACAAATCTGTCGTGCGCATGTCTAAATAAATAAACAAAGTGCAGTAGAAAATTCAAAATCCAAATCGCAAACATAGAAACCCAAACACACACAGCCACGTGGCATAGGAGTAAGGAGAGCAGGAGGAGAAAGGAGGCCGTCAGCACAACTTCCCATATGCCATAAGGACGCACGAGCGAGAAGCACAGCAGACGAGCAGAGACCAGATAGAGCAGACACACAGTCACAGATATGACGATTACAATAAAACAAAGAGTTGGACAAATGCCAAATTCCATAACTAAAACGCACCTCTACTGTGAGATGGGTAAAAAGGAACAGGTCCCCGCCCTGGATACATGTATGCATGACGTGTTCGCGCGATTTTTCTTCTTATCTAAATCTCTCTTGAGAAAAAGCCTTCATTCACGGGCATGCGGGGGCGATTCCGAATGGCTGGCGTTGCCTCTGAACGGACTGAAAAGCCCGCCCGGCACGGAGCTGCAGCTGCTCGCGAACGGCGAAGCAGCACCGCAACCTCGCCGCGCCAGAATCCCGAAGGAAATTCTCAGGGGCGTGCGCCCGTGTGCGCGTGTTCTTGTGTGGGTGTGGGACGTCGACCCGGTCACCCGGGGACCCGTCCACATCGCCACCCCAGCGGCAGTCAAAACGACTAACTCTCACTGCGCACACTGCGGGTTCGGTTCCCGCCCCGCCTCGCCCTCGCTTGCCGCCGCTGGGGCTGCCGCCCGCCGGCGGCCGCGGCGCCGCTTCTTGACGCCGGCTTCGCCGCTCGCGCCGGAGGAGGTCGGCGCAGGCGCCGGCTTCTTCTTCTTGCACGAGAGCGGGTTGGGCTCTCTGAGCCGCTTCCTCTTCTTCGGAGCGGCGTCCGGCGCGTCCGGCGCAAGCGCGGCGCGGCGGTCGTTCGCCCTCGCCAGCTCCTCGGCGGCGCCTTCGGCGGCGGCCCTCTCGTCGCGCTGCGGCGGCTCGAGCACGATCACCTGGCGCGCGAAGCGGAGGAGCGGCACGCCGGAGAGCGCCGCCAGCCTCTGCTGCAGCGCCGCGTCCTCGGTGAGCACGCACAGCCGGCGCGCGTTCCCATTCTCCACCGCGGAGAGCACCTGGCGCGAGCGGCCGCGCTCAGAGGGCGGCGGGTCAAGCAGTGGCTCGGTGCGCCGCAAGCAGTGGCGGTCGGAGGCGGGCGGCGGCGCGGTGGTGGCGCACCGACGCGCTCGCGGCCCCTGCCTGACCGCTCCCGGTCGAGTCGAGCTTGGGCAGCCGCTTGGCCGTCGCGGTCGCGCTCTTGAACTCCTTGCCGAGCGAGCGGAGCTCGGCGACCACCGCCCGCGTCACGACCACCTCGGCGCGGCCTCCCAGCACCTTTGGGAGCTCCACCCGCAGGTCGAGCCCGAGATTGGCGGCGGCCTGCGGATGCAAGGGCGGCGGGCGTTGTGCATGTGGGCGGCGGCGAGAGGGCGGCAAAGGAGAGGAGATGCGCCTGCAGCGCCGTGCCGTCGACCAGCACGCGGTACGGCTGTTTGATGCCAAAGGCGGACCGGTAGAAGCCAAGCGTGCGGCGCGCGCGCGACTTCTTGCCTATCCTCATCCGCGGTCCGAGTCGCGGTCGAGCTGTGGTCGCAGAGAGCCCTTTGTGCGCGTGGCGGCCAGGTGTGCTGCAAAAAAAGACAAAAGTTATCAGCACTGGCAAGCGATGCCCCCCTTGGGTTGTCTGTTTTCTTTCTTTCTTTTTAGCGATGCTTCTCCCACCCCTCGTTTGGCGTGCCCGTTTTATTTATTTATTTATTACAAGCGATCCCACGACAGCGAGTGTGGGGACTACATGATCCGTACGTACGTGAAGGGTGGATGGAGGGGCCCGTCCGCAGAGCAAGGCGGCACAGCCACCCGGCCACCCCCCACTGGGGCCGAGGACAAGAGGCCGTTTGCCGCTTGCTTGTTCTTGAATCTTGATTGATCCAGTTGGTGCACAGACAGTGCGCGCCTGCTTGTTGATGTTTTCGGCGTCGCCCGCCACCGCCGCCATGGAGATCTGCTGCGTGCGTGGTGCTGGTGGACGACAAAGGAGGAGGCGCTCGCCGACGCCGCCCCATACACCGTCCGGTCCGTGTTGGTGACCGCCGCTTCCTTGGCGAACACGTGGAGGAACTGCTTGGTGGGCGGCGCAATGCACATAAGAAAACAACGCTCTCTCTCGCATTACGCATACAAGGGACACTCTGTCGTGTATCAGATGTCACGTCGGGGAGAGGACAAGACAGATCCACCGAGCATGGACAGCCTCAGAACCCGAGACCGAGCCGGCTCGCTTCCGCGACACGGGATGGCAGGCACGACTCGGCAACCGCTCCCCACGAGTCCCATTCCAGCATCGTCCCCGCCTCCTCCACCGGGCGGATCCGCTCCCGCGCCGCCTCTCGCACCACCTCGCGGTCGCGATCGCTCTTGCACATTTCGAAGGAGCGCCGGAGCCACTCTCGGAGTAGGTAGGTAGGTAGGTAGTGGTAGAAAGGTGAAGAACAGCCAGGCTCGGACTGGACACCAACGCGGTATGGGTGGACGCTAGACAGATGATGACGACACGCACGAGCGACACACAGACACAAACAGGCTCACAAGGCACACAGGTAGGTAGGTAAAGAAAGAAAGAAAACAGACAGCCCAAGGGAGGGATGGGAGGACGGCACGGTAGGTTCTCGGAGCGCTAAGCATACTTGGAGCACTTGGAGCCACGCGCAATTCAGGTGCTCAAGTTGCTCATGGACCCAGTCTTTTGCAAGGCATCACTCTAGACGCAATATACTCGCCGTGTAGAAGCTGCTGTCCACGACTCCCTCTTTGGACATAGGCGCACACATTTCGCTTCCAGATCTACTTGGCCTGGCAGCCTGCTGGCAGCACCCCGCTGTCGCTGCATCGTGACGGCCCACCTTTCGCCACAGAGGGGCGCTTGTGCGCCCGCTACCAGGTGGAGTGAGAACGGGCTCCGCCACATCAGGGCGCATCCACCGAACAGACACACAGGTCACAGCGCCCCCGCACGGTGCAAGCGAAGGGGCGGACGAGGTAGGGTGGGATCGGCGAGGAAGTGGCATGCATGCGAGTGTTGACGTGATTTGTGGTGCCACATACTTTAGGGAAAAAGAGGCCGTGAGCTCACTCGGCGGTGAGGGAGGCGGCGGGGACGGCGGAGGGCGGGGGTGAGGGCGGCAGCGACGGGGGCGGTGGCGAGGGAGGCGGCGGGGACGGCGGCGGCGACGGTGGTGGAGGCGAGGGCGGAGGCGGGCTGGCAGAGGCGGCGGCGATGGCGGTGGTGGCG